TTAGCCAGGATGGTCTCGATCTCCTGACCTCGTGATCCGCCCGTCTCGGCCTCCCAAAGTGCTGGGATTACAGGCTTGAGCCACCGCGCCCAGCCTCTCCAGTCCAGTTTTATTCTGTGGACCTCTGTTCACATGAAAGAATTCTTGTTCTCCGGACTAATACATGAGACCTGCTAGATTAGTAACAGCAGGGAATCTGACGCTCATGCAGCACAGCTTGGTTTGATACCAGGCATGATGGACGTCTAACCAGTGCTCCCGGGGGCACAGGCAGCCCCTCTTCTGCGAAAGGAAAAGTTGTTTGGGCTTCCTCAGGGCTGGTACTTAAGAGAAGGACATGCTCGGGTGCCGTCAGCCCAGCATATACACGTTTGCCTCCAAGCTCCTGAGCACAGGACCCGGGTCATGCTCCCTGAGAGTCCCACCATCTCCTCTGCATACACAGGTCCACATGGACAAAGTGCATGCTCCGCAAGTGTGGAGAACTAACAGATAAACAGCCAACTACCTGTGCCCATATTCCCCCCACCCCAGCTTAAACTCCTGAAATGTGAAATACCCTTAGCAGGATTTCACCTGATATTTTTTAAAAATTAAAACACCAAGTTGATATTCAAGATCTTTATTGATTTAACTATAACAGCAACCATTGATGAGAATTTAATTTTTTCCCTAATTTCCAAACATCTGCTGGTTTGGAAGGATAGTTAGAATACAAAAACAACTGATCATGGAATCACACAGGACTGCCTCAAGGACTGCGTGGTACCCTCTGCTATCCATCCACACACAGTGAAATGGATGGGAGGGATGAGGGGACAACACATCATGGGAGACAAAGGGAAGACCAAGGAAAGTGCTGGCAGTCTCTGCTTTTCCATTCAGAATGGATGGAACTGGGCCATTAGTGGCACTAAGACAGGGCAGGGCTATTTTTTTTCTTAAATAAAATATTTTAAAGATGCATAAAACGGACACCTTAGCATGTGAGTGTCCTTTGGGCTCTTCAAGACACCTTCTTTAAGGTTTACCCCTGGAGTAGCAGAGGGTCTCCTCACCCAGGTGGAAAGAGATGGGCTCCATCTGCAGGTGAAGGAAAGGCACTGGCGCACGGCACTCAGCAATTCAGATACAGGCACCAGGTAGGAGCAGGATGGCTTACCCAGCAACCTGCCTCTTAGCTCCCTGCTAGTGTTCTTCCCTCCTCCCCTGGTTTCCAGTTAAAAGTACCCTTGGCCTGGGCTTTAAAAAAAAAGATTAAGCTGGAGAGAAAGGGGATACACTTGGGCAAGAATGGATATTTTGTGCTAGATTCATGGAATTTTCTAAGTGTCCAGGTGTTTTGGTTTTAAGCACCGGCAAGAGCTCCCTTTGGAAATTTCAGTGTGGCCAAATGATTATCAAGCATTGCAGCATCTCTCTGCCAGCCTCCCACCCTTAGAAAGGTGGCAGAGTGAGAGTTTAAATACCCTGGGAAATGTGTTTCATCTCAGTAATATTTCCATTGGGTATCCATGATATACAGTATGGTCTGCCAGGGCTGCAGGCAGAGAGTCATAAGCAAAGAGAATCTACAGACCCTCTGGACAGGGACTCATAAGCCTTCTCCTAAATCTAAGCTTTGCCAAAAGGTTATCAACTTCCAGGACCAGCCTAGAGAAATAAATTTAAATTCCAGAGAGTAGGAAAGGTGATGTAAATGATTAACTGAAAAAACAAGTAAGTATCAATAACTCTTAAAGTTTTCAGTTAGAAATTTCTGTAAGTTAGCCTCAAGAAACTCCACTACTAAACTGGAAAACCATGACTAGGAACAGGAAGCAGCCCTGGGGTAGAAGCATCCTAAAGAATTGTGACCCAACTGCATCAATATCTGATTTCATCTTTTATTAAAAGCTGAGAGTTAAAGGAACTGTAGGGATAACTAAGTCCACCTCAAAGTCCAGACAGAAACTGCCCTCCCAAAGAAACGTTTCTTTAAAACAAATACCAAGCCTTCCCAGATATTATGGGTAGGCAAGTGACTGGGTTTTGCAGATTAATCAGTAGCTGCCCATGTGCATGTAGTCCAGAAAACATGTCAAGAAGGAAGAGCTCTGAACCAGACACAGAAAGGCAGTGTGGCTTCCTCTCTAAAGGGGAATGCAAAGGGCTAAGAGCCCTGGCTTCAAGCAGCTGTTATTCTAGATGAGGAAAATGGAAATAGATTCAATCTCTTGGATACTGCTGCCAACATGCTGAGCCCTTCACCAGTTGCCTTGATTTGAAGCAGGCCCTCTATGTATACTGGCTAATGGACGGACTCCGGCAGTGAAACCCACATACTCAGCAGGCTGCATTCTAATGAGAATGAGGGAATTTAACCAATGGTGTTTGAGCTGGAAAGATAAGGTCTGAGAGTCTCAAAGAGCTGGAAACCCAAAAAAAGAGAAGACCAATCCACCTCAAAATAAGAAAGAAAAACAAAATTCATTTAAGGGTACTCTAAAGATGAGTTATTTACTTCTGGAAGAAGTATCCTTTTCTTATAGCTCCCTCAATAGCAGTACTTCTTATCCAAGTATACTCTCAAGCAAGCAGGGCTACAGATAAGAAAAAGCTGGGAAGAGACAGAGCATAAATCTAAACAAGAATTTGCATATTTGGCCGGGTATAATGGCTCACACCTGTAATTCCAGCACTCTGGGAGGCTGAGGTGGGTGGATCACTTGAGGCCAGAAGTTCAAGACCAGCCTGGCAAACACGATGAAACCCCGTCTCTACTAAAAATACAAAAATTAAAAATTAGCCAGGCGTGGTGGTACATGCCTGTAATCCCAGCTACTCAGAAGGCTGAGGCAGGAGAAACACTTGAACCTGGGAGGCAGAAGCTGCAGTGAGCCGAGACCACACCACTGCACTCCAGCACTCCAGCCTGGGCGACAGGGCGCAACTGTTGCCTCAGGGAAAAAAAAAAAAAAAAAAAAGAGAGAAGCAAGAAAAGAAAAGAAAAGAAAAGAAAGAAGACTTGGTTAGGAATGAGTGCCAGAAACACATAGTAGCCATTCACTAGAATGTGTTGAACTGAAAAACTTAAGTTTGTCTTCAGGGAGAACACAAGACCAGTTCTTTAAGAACACATTGCCATCAAGAAGCCCAGGAAGAGATGGGCGGGCATGCAGGGTTAACCTGTGCACTGGATTTAGAGGAGCAATCAAGCACTGACATTTGTCATTCTTAGATGTTCCCTATTTTATTGAGTGGTTGCTTCCTGGGTGAGAGACCTGACCTGAGTCTGTTGAGACTGGAGAGACCAGGTACCAAGCACCCACTCTCGTGGGAACCTGGCTTCCTGATAACATCATCTATTTCACCTAAATGTGAACTGCTTTCTTTTCTTCAGCTCAATAGCTTAACATCTAATTCATGTTTGCACCCTTTGCTGGACAATCGCCATTCCAAACAAGACAGGTTTAGTGGCTCAGCTGGAAGGCCCCAGTTCCTTTCATTAATTCCTAGCTACAGGCAAATAAGTGGTAAATGAGTCTTACGGACACCAAGTCTAGGACGTGCAAATAAGCATACTTCAGCTGTTGGTAGTTAGGCATATTATTTTCTACTACTGCTAGGAATTGCCATTTCTTACCACCCTCTCAAAACCAGCAGGTAGCTTTGGGGAGTCTGCCTTCTGTCCCAGTTTGGTTATGCACATTTTGGAGAATTGTTTTTGATAGCCATCTGTCTTTCAGCCTATCTACATTAAACCTACCTCCCTGTTGACCTACTTTCATCCTCAGTTGGGGTGTGGTGCTTTTAAGATATGTCCATATATTATTTGCTACTGCTCCACTGGGGTAGAGGTATGTGTAATTCCTCTCTCCTTGAGTGCAGGCTGAGCTTAGTGGCTTGCTTCTAAAGACTAGGATAAGAAGTGATGGTGTGTCCTTTCCAAGACTATGTCTTAAAAGGCACTGCAGCTTTCTCCTGGCCCTGCCCCACGATCTCTGGGATCAGCTGCTCAGGGAGAAGCCAGGTGCCTTATGCAGAGACCCACATGGGAAGAAACTGAGGCATCCTGCCAACGGCCACAAAAAGAGAACTTGGAAGTGGTTTCTCCAGCTCCAGCTGACTGCAGCCCCTGCTCACATCTTGACTGTAACTTCATAATACCCTGGGCCAGAACCATCATGTTAAACTACTCCCAAATTCTTAACCCACAGAAACTGACACATAATGTTTACTATTTTAACATACTAAATTTAGGGTAATTTGTTACACAGCAATAGATAACTAATACAGGTGGAAGGACAAAACTCTTGGCTTGGAAGCCCAACGCCTAGAAAGTCAGTTTCTCTCTATCTGTGCCCTTGAAAATGCTGTACCTATTTAAACAGCATATGAGAACTGCTGAACTCAATAAACCACACTATAAAGAAGGCAGAACCATGACAATGCATGTCTGCTGTTGGAATTTGAAGGAAAGTCACTTCTCATTAAGATCAATTGTCCCCACAAGTATAGAAGCATGGATTCCTCGTAAAAACTACAAATGGAAACTAAGATGTTAAGAGCTGTCTCAGTCAAAGTGGTAAGAGTATTCCTTCCCTCTAAAAAACCCAGGACACATTCATTAAGGGTTTCATCTGTGAGGTTCCCTCCAAACATGCAGAGGCAAACCACCCAATGGACTCTGGCTTGTTCTAAAAATAATTCTATGAGGCATGACACAAAGGTATCATCTATTGGAAGTTTATCTCATGCCCTGTGAAATTTTTTAAATGCCAACTTATGGAGGTCACAGACTGTCTAGTAGTGGTGGCCTCTGGGAAAGAACTGCACCAAGCCTTAAGGAAGTCCTTGCAGAGAAGGGTAAGGGATTGAACAGCTGCCGCATTATACAGCTGACACTCCCAAGAAATACTAAAAACATGCCTTCTGATTAGGGGGTCACATGCAGAAGCTCCCCAAGACGGCAAGAAAAAGGAAAATGGCATCTTGATACTACTAAAGCTCATGCTTTAAATCCATTCCCCACCAATTAGTGAGGAAGCCAAGTTTTCACACATAGCAATAAAGATCAAGAAGAGTTCACTCTTCCGCTCACTGACGGACTGACTAGCTGCTAGTTGGGTCAAATTCCACAGGATGCCAAGGCCAGTGTATGAAGAACGAAAAGCTTCATTCCCAAAGAATCAGGCTCCCCAGGGTGCAGAGAGGTCCTGAGCATGCTTCTTATGTAAATTACAGCGCAACTTAGGTTTTTCCAAGAATATGTAAAATGAGACTTGGAGTTTAATTAAACAGAACAGGGATACATTAAACAAACAAACAAAAAATACTTTTCTGATTATCAATTTTTTTGAGACTCAAAGCATCCCCAAAACATTGGAGATCCAGCTTATTCCTGAGACATCAACCATCACAAAAGGTTTTCACTCTGAACTATTCACATCTTTGTAGCAGAAAACAGAACAAAGTTCTGCAGACATCCTTTCTCTCTTCTTTCTAAAATGTATTCACAAACAGGGTCTTTTCAGAGTTCAAAAGAAAAACAGGTTTCTTTCTTGGCCAAATGGCTGTTACTCTCACCCTGGGATCTGATTTCTTAATAAAAAAGTTCAGGGCACCAAATCTAACCAGAAATTCCCAGGACACCAGTGGCTACTTAACTATAAGGGGATGGATGCTTTAGTCTTTCTATGAGGGGAATCATTCTCCCGGGATTATTATGCTGCTCAATAGTTCCAGGAGAGGTAGGTGGGAAGGAGGGTGAATGCAAAAGCTAAAGGGTCAGAGAAAAGAATGAGGCTTTCATGAACAACCCATAGCAAGGCAGAATGGTCCAGTTTTACAAACCACCCACTACAAACTCCAAACATGCACACTCAAAACTAGAGGGGAAAGGAAAGAGCTCCTGGGGGACTAGGGGAGACAAAAGATGGTGACATAGAACAGCAGACTCGCCTATGAACATTTCTCATCTTCCTAACACTGGAAGATGTTTAATTAAAAAGTTGCTGTTCAAAATTGTACTGAAAACATATCTAAAAATAGGTCTGTAGTCATCTTAAAAATAAAAGGTCACTTCTCAGGTAAGAGGAGTGACAGATATTCTCAGATACCAACACCTGAGGTATCTTTGATGTAAATTTGAAAAATGGCCTGGTAGAGAAAAAGGAAGGAAAGGAAGGAGAGAGGAAGAAAGTGAGGAAGGTAGGGAGAGAAATTCAGAATACAACAGGAAAGGCAAGAAAACTGGGAGGAACACATTTTTTAAGCCCATGCTTATCTATTCCAGCAGCCAAACAAAGCAGATCCACAAAGGAAAAAATGCAGTTCTTTTCTAAGAACATTCTGAAAATCAACTTCAAACTCAAAACATAAGGAACTGCAATCTAAGAACAACTATCACAATGCTCACTGGACTTAAAAATGACAACTGAGACCGGGTACTCAAATGGGTCAACGTTCTTCAGAGGTCATTCTTAGGCATTATCTGACAGAATACTATGATCAGGCTTTACCCACCAAGTAGAGGCTAAAGTGCTTCTATTACTTGGTATGGACCTGCTTTAGGAGCAGACAAAATCACTTCGCTTTCTTGAAGTACAAGAGGACTCTGCCAGCAACAAGATGCAAGCAGGGAAGAGTGGCAGAAGAAGAGCAAAACTGGTTACCAAGGGCTCTCTTCTGATGTACAGAGTTAAAAATATCTGCACAAATGCACTAAGTAAAAGGACAGGAAGATGAACTATAATACCAAAGACAGAAGACATTCCTCCCAGAGGAAAGAAAGTGAGTGGACCTCAAAACAGTGTCACAAGGTAATGCTACTAGAGTTGCACAAGCTGTGCTCTGTCCCGAGGGACAAATACCTCAAGGTAAAAGGGAAAGCAGCTCTCTTTTTTATCATTTCCCCCTGCTGGTTGTAAAGATCCCAAGCCCAGACTCTTGCAACACTGAACCATAGGTGGGATAGAGGGAGGAGAGACAGAGGGTAAGGAACATGAATGGTGTTAGGCCCACCAAACCTCTGTATCCCTTCCCAGACAGGCAGTTGTTGATAGGTTGAGATTCGATGTGGGACAAAATTACAGGGTAGGAGGGTGGCTCTCAATAAAAGAACAACTAGGAAAGTCAGAGTTGAACTGTTGTCCTCTAAGGGCTGCTTAGCTCTACAGAAACACAGCCTTCAATCTAACCTGTTTAACTGGGAAGGGGAACAGGAGACAGGGAGAAGAAATGGTCAGATGAAGCTCATCTTCCCATCATTTGGCACCCAGAGGAAGAGGGGGAGGTGGAGACTGTAATGGGGACTGCTGGTATTGCCTCTTCTGTCTTTTCACTGTTGATCCTATTAGCCAAATCAGGTGCACACAAGTATCAGTGTTGCTTTTCTTCTAATCCTTGCAGGGGAGTCAGATGTCCATCTCGAACTGAGCATCATCCCCTAGTTAGGACAAATGAAATGAAGAGTTTAGCACATACACAAAAAAGCACAACAGTTTTAACTGTCATTCCCTCTATCTGAGAGATAAAAAATAATTCAAACTGTCCCACTCTCTGCTGCCTTGAAACAATTACTCTGCTTTGCTTTGGCTGGTCTTAATCTGAAAAAGAAGAATGGCAGTTCCATCGCCCATGGGAGGAAGCTTTGGGGAAAAGGACACAAGTGAAAACATCCCCAGTGTCTCTTTGTCTTCAGGTTGAATAAACAGCAGCTCCTGGGGAGCTCTTTGCTGTCTCTCAGGGGAGCACATTCTTCTGGAGGCTTTGGACTTTGGCCCTGCTCCAAACTGACACTTTGTCCATTAAAAAACTCATCTGAAATATCACAAAGCAGAATGCTGGCCCACATCTAGGGGTCACTAAGTGCAGTCCCTGAGGAGTATTTCAGGAGTTGGCCACTCCTACCTCACCATTCTGCTTCTACAGAGATAAAGAATAAAAGAATGTGTTGGAGGAGGGGTAATTTAGGTAAATCTTAAAGGCAGTTCTGGAAAATAGAGGAAATAAACCATACTGCTTTTCCTCATACTATAAAAAAGAAATTCATATAAGAAACAAGGTCTATTTGCCTGAGGGTGATGGAAATGGGGGCTATGAAAATTGTTTCATTTTCTTTCTTTCTTTCTTTTTATTTATTTATTTGAGACGGAGTCTCGCTATGTCACCCAGGCTGGAGTGCAGTGGTGCGATCTCGGCTCACTGCAAGCTCCGCCTCCGGGGTTCACGCCATTCTCCTGCCTCAGCGTCCCGAGTAGCTGGGACTACAGGTGCCCGCCACCACGCCCGGCTAATTTTTTGTATTTTTTAGTAGAGATGGGGCTTCACTGTGTTAGCCAGGATGGTCTCGATCTCCTGACCTCGTGATCTGCCCACCTTGGCCTCTCAGAGTGCTGGGATTACAGGCATGAGCCACTGTGCCCGGCCCGAAATTGTTTTGTTTTCTGTGTTATTCTTAGTCCAATGAAGCCTAGGCCAGGTAGTCCTTAAGGCATGGTTCGAGAAATCACTTTTGGAGTTTATCATACTGATTCTGGATTCTTTTCTCCCACCAACTACATCAGATTTATGATTTAGAACTCAGGGTTTTCAGAGCATTTCAAGAAACCTTTGGGGAAGGAGGGAAACTTTACAGACATATAACTGAACATTAGTTATAACTGAAGAACTGGCCAGGCGCGGTGGCTCACACCTGTAATCCCAGCACTTTGGGAGGCTGAGGAGGGCAGATCACCTGAGGTCAGGAGTTCAAGAACAGCCTGAGCAACATGGCAAAACCCCGTCTCTACTAAAAAATACAAAAATTAGCCAGGCGTGGTAGCAGGCGCCTATAATCCCAGCTACTCGGGAGGCTGAGGCAAGAGAATCACTTGAACCCAGTAGGCGGAGGTTGCAGTGTGCTGAGATCGTGCCATTGCACTCCAGCCTGAGTGACAGAATGAGACTGTGTCTCAAAACAAAAAAAACAAAAAAACAAAAAATAAAAGCTGAAGAATCAATAGCTTCTCAACCTATAGCAAACAGACATTCAAATTCTAAGAGCCACGCTCTAGGTCCCCAACACCACCATTCTCTTACCAACTGCATGTTTCCTGTCGTGATTGTTCAAGTTGTTCAAATTGTTTACTTCTACTTTGGAGTCTTCAATTAAGGTGCCAGGGCTAGTGACTCCTGGGATATTGGGCAGATGGCAGGGTGGGGTCTGAGCCATGGGAGAATTGCGACGATCCAACAGAAACTTTCTGTCATAAATGATTCGAGTTCCTGGAAAACACGGTTAAAAAAGAGTTTGAAACAATTTAAGGGGTTATCACCATATACTATCCAGCAATTTAATTTAAATCCCATGTAATCCTAACTTTTAAGGATTTTACAATTGAAGTCAAAAGCATAATCTCTAACCTCCCTGCCTGTAAACAGGCTCCTCTGCCATCTGGAATGCCCTCTTTCTCTTCTGCCAGGGACACTCCTGCTGATCCTCCAAGACTCAGCTCCAACCATCACTTCCTTTATGAAGCCATCCCCACCCCTCACTTTTTTAAAAGGTTCTTCCTCTCCATCTTACACACATCACGTATTACAGGACTCCTGTTTATCCATCTGTCTCTCTTTATAGACTTTGAGTTTCTTATGTCAGGGCTATGTCTTATTTATACGTGACTTAGGCCCTAATATTAACATCTTTAAGAAAAAAAAGTTTTAAATTTATGATACTAGGAAAAAAAAAAGTTTTAAATGAAAGAATAAACAAGTATGAGAAAAAATAAACAGTCCCTTTTAAAGGCTTTCCAAAGAAGGACTGAGACTGACATTCTTCTCACAGCTATTATCAAAGCTGAAACTGGCAGTCCCTCTCTATTCTACAAAACAATCTGCTTACCACTAAGTACTACCTGAATGTTTTAAAAACAATAGTTCTGAAGAATACACTTTAACTGATAAACAATTTGCTGCTTACAAATGGTCAATAGGTACATTAAAAGGTGCTCGACATCACTAATCATCAAGGTAATACAAATCAAAACCATGATGAGGTATCACTTCACATCTCTTAGGATGGCTATTATCAAAAAGACAAGAGAGCCTGGGCATGGTGGCTCATGCCTGTAATCCCAACACTTTGGGAGTCCAAGGCAGGAGGACTGCTTGAGCCTAGGAGTCTGAGTCCAGTCTGGGCAACACAGGGAGACCCTGTCTCCAAAAAAATTATTTAAAAAAGAGCCAAGTGAGGTGTTGTTGGTCTGAAGTCCCTACTACATGGAGGCTGAGCCAGAATAGCCTGCGTCCAGGAGTTCGAGGCTACAGTGAGCTATGACTGCACCACTGCACTCCAGCCTGGGCAACAGAGCAAGATCCTGCCTCAAAATTTAAATCAAATATAATTTTAGGACAAGGAAAGTAGAAACTTACCTTCATCCTCTTTGCTTTGAAAAACAAAAACTAGAGTAGCACTCAAAAAGGCATCTAGATATTATGAGGAACGAGGTATTCTGGGTAGCACAAAACTTAGTTCAACTTTCAAAGAGTGAACAACTTCAATTATCTTGAATGGAAATACTTCTAATACAGATTTTAAATCCCTTTATGGCCTTCAACAGAAAACGATTCAACCCTCTTAATGACTCACAGTCATTATTATGAAAATTGTTTATTATACTATATTATGACCTAAGAAGTCTCAAGCCCTATCAAGTTAATGCTCTGTAGAGCTGAAAATCACTATACAGAGTTCAGGTGGTCAAGGCTGTGCTGGTGCACCCTTCCCCTCCAGTGTCCTTGTCTCTTGTCAGACTAAGAGCTGCCTTTTTTCCAGGTTACTATGACTCAGTCAGCTCAGGCTGCCATAACAAAATACCACAGACTGCACAACTTAAACAACAGAAATTGTCTAATAATTCTGGAGGCTAGAAGTCCAACACTAAGGTGCCAGCATGGATGGTTTCTGGTGAGGGCTCTTTTCCTGCCTTCTCATTGTGTCCCTTACATGGAGGTGAGGCGGCCACAGCTCTGTGGTGTTCCATCTTATAAGGGCACTAATCCCATCAGGAGGGTCCCACCTTTATGACCTCAACTCAACCTAATTAACTCCCAAAGGCACCACCTCCTAATACCATCATGTTGGGAATTAAGGTTTCAACATAAGAATTTGGGGGAGACACAATTCAATCTGTATAGCACACCTTTAACACCCTTTCTAACTTGGTGTTTCTAGTCTGCTGTGTTTGGAAATCAGCAACTTGCTTATTAGCATGCTATGTAAAATAAGGGCAAATAGGCTGAAAGGGGGTCTGATGGCCTTCCAATGAACAAAGGGAAGGAGCTTTATCGATGGACTTTGCCTATCTGTTTGAGTTACCCCATTTTTGTTCATGGTTAGATTTCAGAAGGGTGAGGTTTCACTGTCAGATGAGTCAACCTGCAAATTGGAACAAGATTATTCTTACTTCTGTAGTACATCAGGCCTGGAAATTGTGGAGATGAGGTGGTGAAAAAGCACAGCACAGAAGCAAGCTTTCTAAATTACATATCAGCAATAACATATACATTAAAGAATTGCAATTAAACCAACTAGGATATAGGTAGTAGAGATTCTGCCTAAATGTGTGAGATATAAGAGAAACTCTGAAGAACCTCTATGATCTTGAAGAGCCGATAAGATACGGTATTTTACAAGTTTATTGAAATAGCATTCACTTACAATTCATCCACTTATAGTGCATAACTCAATAGTTTTAGTTGATACGCAGAACTGTACAATCATCACCATAATCAATTTTAGAACCTTTTCATTACCCCATAACCTCCCCTCAACCCCTTAGATGCCACCTAATCTCCCCACACCCTCTGGCCCTAGGCAACCACTAATCTACTTTCTGTCTCTCTCTCTCTCTATATATATTTTTTTAACCTATTCTGATCATTTCATATAAATGGAATCTTACAATATATGGTCTTTTGTGACTGCTTCTTTCACTTTCATAATGTCTTCAAAGTTCGTTTATGTTGTAGCATTTATCAGTACTTCATTTCTTTTTCATTACCAAATATTTCATTGTATGTATATATCACACTTTATCAATTTATCAGTTGATGGACTAGTAAGTCGATAAAAACAACAGTCCATCAACTGATAAATGGGTTTTTCCCACTTTTTGTCTGTTATAACATTCATGTACAAGTTTTTGTGTGAACACATTTCCTTTCTCTTGGGTATATACTAAACTAAAAAAGTGGAATTAGCCAGGCATGATGGCTCACACCTGTAATCTCAGCACTTTGGGAGGCCAAGGTATGTGGATCACTTGAGCTCAGGAGTTCAAGACCAGCCTGGGCAACATGGCAAAATCCTGTCTCTTAAAAACATACAAAAATTAGCCAGGCGTGGTGATGCATGCCTGTAGTCCAGCTGCTGGGGAGGCTGAGGTGGGAGGATGACTTCAGCCCAGGAGATGGAGGCTACAGTGAGCCATGATTATACCACTGCGCTCAGCCTAGCTAACAGAGTGAGACCCTGTCTCAAACAAACAAACAAACAAACAAAAGGTAGAACTACTGGGTCATATGGTAACTCTACCTTTAACCATTTGAAGAATTGCCATTTTTTTCTTTCAGTTTTTTTGGGGGGACAGTCTCGCTCTGTCACCAGGCTGGAGTGCAACTGTGCGATCTCGGCTCACAGCAACCTCTGCCTCCTGGGCTCCTGGGTTTAAGCGATTCTCCTGCCTCAGCCTCCCAAGTACCTGGGATTACAGGCGCATGCTGCTACGACCGGCTAATTTTTGTATTTTAGTAGAGACGGGGTTTCACCATGTTGGCTAGGATGGTCTCAATCTCTTGAGCTCGTGATCTGCCCGGCTCGGCCTCCCAAACTGTTGGGATTACAGGCGTGAGCCACTGTGCCCAGCCAGAACTGCCTGTTTTTCAAAGTGGTTGTACCATTTTACATTCCCATCAGCAGTGTGTGAGAGTTCTAATTTTTATATATTGTAGCCAACATATAGCAGATATGAAGTGGTTTCTCACTGTGGTTTGATCTTAATTTGTGTTTCCCTGATGGCTAATTATGTTGAACATGCTGTTTTCATGTACTTACAGGCCATTCCACCATATATCTTCTTTTGAAGAAACTGTCTATTCAGAACCTTTATTACTAAATTATGATAAGTTATTTATTTTGGATATAAATCTCTTATATGACTGCAAATATTTTCTCCTATTCTGTGGGTTATCTTTTCATTTTCTTCATGACGTTCTTTGATGCACAAAAGTTCTTAATTTTCATGATATCCAACGGAACTTTTTTTTTTCTTTTGTTTGTGCTTTTGGAGTTGCATCTTAGGCCACGGCCTAATCCAAGGTCATACAGATTTGCCTCTGTCTTCTTCTAAAGGTTGTACATTAATAGCTTTTGCTCTGACATTTAGGTCTTTGAGCCATCTGGTCCACCTTCAGTTTTTCTGTGTGCATATCCAGTTGGATCAGCACTATCTGTTAAAAACTATTCTTTTTCCATGGAATTGTCTTGGCACCCTTGTTAAAGATCAATGGGCCATTACTGTGAGGGTTTATTTCTGGACTCTCAATTTTATTCCATTGATCTATATGTCTATCCATACGCTAGTACCGCACTGTCTTGATGTGTAATAAGTTTTGAAACCACGAAGTGTAAGTCTCCCAACTTAGTTTTTCTTTTTCAAGATTATTCTGGTTATTTTAGGTCCCTTAAAGTTCCATATGAATTTTGTCAGCTTGTCAAAGAAGCCAGCTGAGATGATGATAGGGACGGTGCTGAATGTGAAGGTCAATTTGTGGAGTACTACCATCTTAACAATATTAAGTCTTCTGATCCATGACCACCAAATGTCTTTCTACTTATTTGGGTCTTCTTTAATTTCTTTCAACAACGTTTTGTAGTTTCCAGAGTAAAAGTTTTATGCTTTGTGACTAAATTTATTCCTATCAGATTGTTTTCATGCTATTGTAAGTGGGATTGCTTTTTCTTTTCTTCCTTTCCTTTCTCTTTCTCTCTTTCTTTCTCTATCTCTCGTTCTTTCTTTCAAGAGAGGGTCTTGCTCTGTCGTCCAGGCTAGAGGGCAGAAATGCAATCTTGGCTCACTGCAACCTATACCTCCTGGGCCCAAGCGGTCCTCCTGCCTCAGCCTCCCTAGCAGTTGGGACTACAGGCACACATCACCCAAAAAAAAAAAGAAAAATTTTTTTGTATTTTTTTGTAGAGACAGGGTTTCACCATGTTGCCTAGGCTGGTCTCGAAAT